AACTTGGACCTCGTGCCTTTTTAAAGGCACTGATTAGACTCTGTGTTAGCCGACAAATTCTAATGGAGACAGCGGCGACTTTCTCGGCGGCTGCTGCCGTAACACTCAGATGTTTTTACTTGGCCTTTGCGGTATTTGTTTTGCCTAGATCCTTTGACCCTCTAATTTTGATTATGGCCGAAGGGATTTAATTAACAACGGATGTTACCGTTTCTTAAGGGTTTAGTTAATAATTAAATTATTCTATGATAATTAATTTAAAATATGGTAAGAAAGTTGTTCAAAAAAAAAAAAAAATGGTAGGAAAGGTTCAAAATTTAGACTCCCTCTTATGGGGTTGTGTAAAGTGTTATTGTGTCAGTACTATTATTATTATTTTTAGAAGATTGAAAAACCAAAACTGAATATGTAATAAAAAAAATAAAAAAATGGTAGGAAAGGTTCTGCTTTATAAGTTACAAGTTTGGAGTTTTACTCTGTATCAAAATAAATGTAATTTTTTTACTTTAATTTATCTAAATTTAATTGTTATTTTTTTATTTTTTAAGATAAATAAATATTTTTTTTAATTTAACCATATCATTATTTATTTATTTTAGTCGGTTAATAGCTAGAAGATTGAAAAACCAAAACTAAATGTGTAATAAAAAAATAAAATTTTATATTAATAAATAAATATTTATTATTTAAATATTGTAAGTAAACATAAAAATAATCTTAATTATTCAATTTCATTTTCAAATTTAACCTTATAAATTATGTTATATTTAATATTTAAATTTAAAATATATCTAAAAATAAAAAAATGAATTTCAAAATTAATATTTTACTCTTATTTATCTATCTCTTTTACATTTTGCTATATTTATATCCTTTAAAAATTTTAAATTTTGGTTAATTACCGTCATTGTTAAACTTGAAATAGGCATTGAATATTGTTGGAATAAGCCAAACATAGGCCCAACATCCAAATAGGGCTGTGCATAACGTGCCTGGCCTACCGTCCACTAGTCCAAATTGAGGGAGCACTAATGCAAGCATACCTACGTGACCAGCACCACGTGGGCCAATGAGATGCTTATATGTACATATGCATGTCAGCACTTGGGGCTATAAATACCCCCCAACTACCTCCGATAATGGTAATTGATCTCTATGCTTCTCTCTCTGCAATTACTCTTTGAGAGCATCTTTCTCTAAAATATCGAGTATTGCTGACTTGAGCGTTGGAGTGTTTTCTCCGAGGAAACATCCTTGGGATTTACAGGTGTAGAAACAGTTGAGAACTTCAACAGTGTTGGATTGCGAAGCTGCCCAAACAAATATTAATTTGATTAAAACCGTTAATCAAAATATTAAAATTGATTATTTTGGTTACCAAACCAAAAATCAATAAAACATTTTTTATTTGGTTTTGGTTAGTAAAAATAGAAAAAATAAAAATGGATCGTTCAAATATTGGTTTTGATTAAAACAAAACTGAATCGTGTCCAACCCTAAGCAACAAGGCAATTATTAAATAAAAAACTACTCGTACAATGTTTACTATTTTTTAGAACTAAAATAATAGTTATTCTTGAACGGCCTCCTCTAACTCAGTGGTATGAACCCTGAATTAGAATTGTTTATCTTTCGTGAATTATGTGTTCTAATCTCACGAAATTCCTTTCTTCATTCCTAATTAATACTTATAAATAATTGCAATCCGTTCAAAAAAAGAAGAAGTTATTCTTA